TTCTCAAGAGATAAGGTTGCCAGATTTCCCCGATTTGGTGGGATTTTCGCGTGAAGAAGACGATATTGGGGCAGTGGGGTCGCGTATACTGTTGGACGCAACTTCTGGGTTTCCTTTTGGTCGTTGTTCTCACGTGGAGAAGAAGAAGAGGCAAAGTGGGGTCATTTGGTATTGTTGTTGTTGTGAGAATTAGGGGCTGGGTCTTTTGGAATTAAGAAATGGGCTGATGTATTGGATGAAGAGTTGGGCTGGGAATTATGATGAAGAGAATTGGGCTTGGATTTTGGTAACGGTTTAAGGAGTTGGGAATGATAAAGTGGGCTAGAAATTGGCCCAACTTTGGTCTTAAATAGATCCAACAAATAGAGCAAAATATTGGTTAGATTTGATTTTGAAAAATAACCAAACAAATTGCAAATTTGGTCAAGACGAATTAATATTAATTAATTAACGAGCTTCTTAATCTTAAAGAAATAAAATAATTAATTTAATTATAAACTAGTAACTAAAAAAAATATGCCAACTTAAAGTAAACTAATTTAATAAAATATTCAACTAAAAGATAAAATCTTTTTGGGATGATTTTCGAATATTATAAAATATACTAATTGTATACAAAATTATGTAAAACATATATATTATTTAAAAATTATAAAAAAAGTGACGAAACTATTTAAAATAACTTGCAAACTCTATTTACTTTATTTTCTTGATTTTTTTTATTTTATAAAACTAATAATTTTAAATCATTTGAAATTAGAGAAGCTCGATGATTAATCTATATTGTGGAGGTCCAAAATTGGGTGTCAACAGACAAAAGCGGGGAGAGGACTATAGCTGTTGTGACAAAAGTTGATAAAGCTCCTGAAGGGCTACTTGAAAAAGTTACATCAAATGATGCGAATATAGGACTTGGCTATGTTTGTGTTAAGAACAGAACTGGGAATAAGTCTTACGATGAAGCTCGTAGTGAGGAGGCTAGGCTTTTCCAAACTCATGCACTATTATCAAAGATTGATAAGTCAATGGTTAGTGTTCCTGTTCTGGCACATAAGTTGGTGCATATTCAAGCAAACATCATTTCCAAATGCTTGCCAGATATTGTGAGGAAGATTAACGACAAACTCGCTGTTAATGTTGCTGCTCTCAACAAGTTACCACAACATTTGAGTTCTGTTGCTGAAGCATTGACAATGTTCATGCGTATTCTGAGTTCCACCAAGGAGTCTCTAAAGAAAATATTTCTTAGAGGGGAGTTTGATGAGTATGCTGAAGATCTTGAAATGCATTGCACTGCTAGATTAGCTGAGATGCTCAACGAGTACGCTGTTGAGCTACATTCAAAGAGCATTGAAAAAAGGAAGATTTCTTGATGGATGAGATCATGTCTTTAACAGAAGCAAATGGGATCGGATTACCAAATTTCCTCCCTCGTGCTGTTTTTCTGAATGTTTTACAGAAAAAGGTCAGTGGGATTTCAGCAACTCCTGAGGTGTTCGCGGGGAAATTGTGGAACTATATAGAGACAGTTGTCATCAAAGTTTTGATGCATCATTTCTGTAACTACCAACAACTTCAGTCTTCCACTAGGTGCGCGGTGCAAAATTTGACTGCCAAGAGGAAGGATGAATCAATTAATTGGGTCCGAGAAATCATTGAGATGGAAAGGCTGACGGATTACACTTATAATCCTGAGTATGTTGGAACTTGTAGTAGGCTCATGGCTCAGCAAAAACCATTTATGGAGATTATGAATGATTCTAACAAGCGCTCGATAATAAACCTCGAGGGAATTGGAGAAGTTGATGTTGGGAGTTTGAGGAAGCATAAGGATGTTGTTCAGCAAGCTTTTGAATTGAAGATGAGGATGATTGCATACTGGAAAATCGTGTTGATGAGATTGGTCGATCATATGGCACTGTATACAATGTTTAATCTTCAAAAGATGGTTAATTATGAGATTGAGGAGGAGATTGTTAATGAACTTATGGCATCCCATGGTGGTGGCATTGAGAGAATGCTGGAAGAAACACCTTTGGTTTTGGAGAAACGCCTTAGGCTGAAAAAGAGTGTGAAGCTGCTTAAGGAGTCGAAAGATGTGGTGGCGAAAATCATGGACAGGATTGCTCTTCACATTGATGGGGAAAAGGCGTAAACGAGTGTTTGATGTTTTCAGATAGTATGTCTTGTTGTCCTTGTGGCCTTAGTTCTCTTCTTTCAACTTTTTTGGTTATCTACTTAGTTCTCTTTTATTAAGTTTGCAGTATGTCTGTCCTCTTCTAGCATCTTATCTACCATTTACCATGTTTTAATTTCTTTTGCTGATGGTTCGAACAAAAGGTCCTATCTTCCTATTAATGAGTTTGATTCTGCATTGGTTTCTTTTTTATGATGCTCCTTAAATTCTGCTTTCCAATTTCATTCACTAGTGGCTTTTTTGGGGTATATTTCCCTTCTTGATGGCTTAATTCTGCTTTAACTGTTTGCATTCTCTATAAATGTAACATCTTTTAGGATATACATGATGGACTCTTCTACGCGCTTTCCCTCATTCCACTTGTCCAGCCCTTTTTATGAACTTGTACAATGGATGCCACAAAGACAGTCAACTCTATTATCAAAGAAATAAGGAAAGGGGCGACAGTTTGGCACCAGATATCAGGAGGTGTGGAAAGAGCGGAAAAACCATTAAAAACAACTATAATTCGGAATTGCATCTACTTCCAACTATTTTCTGGTACTTTTTTTTGTATGATTTTGTATTCTTGATCTTTACTGGCATATTGTGTACATATCTAGCTTATCATTTTTGCTGTCAAGTAACATCTTGAATATGCTATCGCACGATAAAGTGGTGCACTTGAAGCATGTAGAGTTTTGATTTCTCCGTTGTTTGTATTGACTCAGTTTTATAGCTATGGAGAATTTTCTAATAGCCCTTTGTTTATGTGCTAAACAGCAGTATCACAATTAGAAATTTCTATAGTTTCTTGAGTACTACTCCCTCTGTCTATATTAAGTGAATTGTTGGGGGTATAACACACCCTTACCAATGATTTTCTTGAACTTTGAATAATGATCAAACATGTATAAATATGGATATTATGAATCGTGTGGTCATCAAGACTGGATTTATCAACCAATATCCAAGTAGACTCTACAAACTACACCTTGCTGCAAAACCACAACATTTTTTGCCATACTCACCATGATGTTCAGCAAAATGGTGAATGGATCTTCTTCTAGTGAATAACCACTACAAGTTGATGATCCAAAACATATTGCAGTAATAGAACCAAAAGTTTCTGGTGTTCATGCACCAATTATGTCATCCTTGAATGATAGAATTTGACCCCTTCTCGACTGTGTGGACAAGCTTAGGCACCTCAACATCATGCAAGAAGGTATCCAGCTGCCTACTATTATGGTTGTCGGCGATCAGTCTTTTGGGAAGTCAATTGTGATTGAATCACTTTCCGGAATTAGCCTTCCTAGAGGGAATGGCATTTGCACTAGAGTGTCTCTCATCATGAGGGTCCAAAATCACAATGAGACCAAAGTTTACTTTAGAGTGTAATGGAAAATCAGTTCCAACCGATGAATTTCACGTAGCAGAGGCCATTATTCTTGCAACTAATGAGATTGCTGGACATGGTAAGGGAATATCCAACATCCCTCTAACACTCATAGTGAAAAAGAATGGTGTTCCTGACTTGACTATGGTGGATTTGCCTGGAATACCTACGGTCCCGGTTCATGGAAACTCCACAGATAATTTTGAACAAATTTCAGAAATTGTTATGAAATATATAACACCAGAGGAAAGCATAATTGTGAATGTTTTATCAGCCACTGTTGATTTCTCTACTTGTGAATGCTTTAAGATGACCACTTTATTCTCTCCGTCCAAATTTTTGTGACACGATTGAAATTTCGAGAGTCAACTAAGTTGTTCTTTGATCGGTTATTATTTGTCTTTTAAATATTTTAAGTTGTTAACTATTATGATTTATAATACTTTTTATATAGTTTGATTCTAGAAAAACACATAACATGTAAGAAGCAATGACGTTTTGAGCCACTGTTGGAGAGCCTACGAGAAACATACCTGGAAGCTTTCAATAATCGTTAGTGAAACTGCTATACCAATAATCCATTACCTATAAAGCAATACTTTTTTTAAACAGCCTTATATGAAAATATATAATAAGACATTCCTATTTTATAATACTAACAAACCAAATTAAACTGGTACTAAAAAACCTATTCCTATATAAGGAATGACAAACAAATTCTAACTAGACATCATTAAATAAATACCAAATAATAAATCCTAAACTACTTAGAATTCCTACTCTTTCTTTATTTCCTATATAACATAAACTAAACTTACCATTTTTTGAAGTTGAATACGAAGTTAATTCCGGAAAGGAAAATAAACTCTGTTATTCTCATCAGAACACAGCCAGAAATATTGAATTTGTTTCCTACTTCACATAAACATAGGAAAATATTGATTCTATATAAATAAAGCTGCTCTGTTTCGTTTACAATAAGTGAGAAGGGATGACGTTTTCATGTGAAAGTATCACGGGAATGAAGATCAGGGTGTTCAAGTGGAAGCACCAACATATGGTGAGCCATGTATACAGTCACTGTAGGAAGTTTGGGGCTTTATTACCCGAATATGGATTTTTTATTTTTCAAGTCAAAAATAATATTACTCCTATTATCTGTAATACCCTATATTAAAATAAGGGCATAATTGTC